TATAACAAAATTAATTTATTTTAAAGATAATTATATATATAACAATACGTATTAATAGCTAATAAAAAATATTTGCTAAAAAAATTAATATTATACGTATATTATAGAATACTATAGAATAACAAAGCTGTTTAAAAAAATTATTAATAACCAATCATATAAAACATAATAAATACGGTATATATTCTAAAAGTACTGTACAAATATACACAGATATTAGAGCTACTACTACATTTCAAAAAGTTGTAATCAATTCAAATAAAAGGTAATAATTCAAGTAAAATGAAACTTATTCCTTGCTTTTACAATCAAATATGTGGCTCAAAATAATAAAGTTGAAAAATAAATTTTGGTAGTAAACCGTATTGATATAAAGAATTTCAATTAGTACAGAAATGTTGATTGACAATTGCTATAACATTGATTAAATATTGATTCAATATTGATTCAATATTGATTCAATATTGATTCAATATTGATTAAATATTCAGATTAACAAACTTATTTAAGCACTGTGTATCCAATATACCAAATCACTTATTTTCAGCCTTTCCATAATATATATCATTCACGTGACACAATCATTGTTCGCTCTGTATTAAGGTGATTATCTATAGTGTTTTTTTTAACCGTTGTGAAGAGTTTCAAGTAACATTAAAATTAATATTAAAAAACGTGTGGTTCGTAATTTGGAGGGTGCAAACATTTGTTGCATAGGAACGTTACCATATAAGGTTTCCAGTCTTAAATATATTTTAAAAAGACGTTTATATTCACGACCTTTGTTATTAATCCTGTTTGCTTCATCCCTTAAGTTTACTAATTACGATCTCGACCGCAAAGCGTTTATGTATGCTGCTTAAACTTGAACATGGTAAGTATAGTCGTGCGTGGTAGTTACAATTTCCGTCCACTTTATTAAAAAAAACCTTCGAAATTCTCGATTTTTACAAATTATTCACATAATAAGAGATCAAACCAATCTTAATTCACAATGATTAAAGCTCTGTCCAACAAATAATAATTGAATCTTGTAATGCAACCTATTCAAACAAACGATCGCAAGTCATATTATGATATATATATGTTAAGTGGTATGTTAAGTGGTTTGTTATTTGGTGATTCATGCACGAAGAATCATTGATCTTTTACGATATT